AAGCATGCGGGCGCTTGCATCTGAAGACTTAAAAACTTTTATGAAGCAGTCCGTACCAAACTTTGATATGTCTTCTACCTTGATGTATGTCCACTTGGAACTGCTGATGGAGCGCATCTCTTATGCTCTGATGGCCAATGGCATCCGTGGCTGAGAGTGGAAGCTTTGCTATTACTACAATGTCAAAGACATTTGGTTCCTTGCTGTGGAGTTGTGTCTCGTCGATTCTTGTGAGGTTTGGCTAACGGTAGTTGGCCATCTTTTCGATGGTGTCCTGTATATTTTTCAACTGGAGTAAAGGATTAATCCCAGGTGCAGGTAAGCTGATGGATAAATGAAATTATGGTAATGCACACGAATTAGTTACGACCATAGAATAAAAATTTGCTAAAGTAAGTATACCTATATACAATGGGGATGTGGACGATCTCCCCGGGCGTGGTGCGCAGGGCGCCGGCCGCCGCGGATCCGCTGGCGCCGCCACCCTACCCGACCGCAGCGCTAGGGTTTCATGGACTACAGCAGCAGGCGCAGCACGACGAGGCTCCCCGGCGGGAGGAGGCGCTGAGGATGGGGGAGAGGGAGGAGGCAGGTGAGGGAGGGCGGAGGAGGAGGAGGAGGGCGGCCGCAGCCGCCGTGCCTCGGTCGCGCGAGCCGCCGTCGGCCTGTCCGTGTCGGGAGACGGAGGCGAGGGAGAGAGAGAGAGCGAGGAGGAGAGAGGAGGGGGCGAGAAGCGGGAAAAGGAGAAGCAGAAGCTGGTTCTATATATATATATATACTCCTCTGGATTCTGATGAGAAGCAGGGGAAAGCGGAGGAGAAGCAAGAGAAGCCGGAGAAAACGACGAGAAGCTAGAGGAAACGACGAGAAGCCGCTGACGCCGAGAAGCGGCTCCAAAGAATGGTGGCCACAGGATGGAAGATTGAACGGCTGTCACAATTAGGGGTGACGTGGGCAGTGTTTCCTTGGAGGAGCTCTATGGGTTATCTAGGGGAGAAAGAGAAAGGTAGAGAGCACGCGGAGGTTGCAGATGGAGAATTATAGATTTTATACGTGTGAATATTTTTCATTCCAGTACAGGGGCTAATCAGGGTCAGATGACTGCGACGACTTCATGCAAAATACATTACCACACTGCTATTTCATAGAGTAAAAAATGTCAAATAAAAGCATGGTTACTGTTTGCCCCTTTCCGGTCTAATTCAAACTGTTATGCAAGTCTCATTTTCTTGTTTCTTTCTAATCCAAACTTTGAACTTCTCAAGTACAAACTTCATAAAGGCATACAATTATATTATCTATAGGTATGACTCCACTTCTCTTCCATCCATGATCCGAGTAGTCAAAAAGGCCATTGGTTCATCGTCATCCAATGACCGTCGTCTCTACTATGACTCCATTTCATTTCCCCCATGCCACGTGTCAACAGTCTCATCCCTCGGCTGCCTCTAGAGTCTAGCCGGGCAAAATTTTGTGACCGTTGAGATTGCTAATTGATCGGTAAAAAGCCACGAGTGTTATCACTACTACATTATATAAATGGTTTTTTACAATCGTTTTCTATTTTTCCCAAGATGGTTACTATATTTTTCCCAAGATGGTTGTATTTCTATAAAGTCAACCGCTCCTAAAATTATGTGCCGAACAAATAAATTCATATACTTTCTTCAAATGAAGTTGATTGAAGATAAACTTTATCTCAAAATTGTAGAGCTCGATGCTAAAACTTTGTGGTTGATGATTTTTTTATTTAAGATAGTTTAGGGCCTAAATTTACATTTTAATAAGTTCTCAAAATTGAAATTTAATTTTCAAAATTTTTAACAACTTCGGAAGACATATCCTATAGCAAAGTTGTAGCTCTATCTAAACTTTATAGCTGAAACTTTTTTGAGACCTTTGGGGCCAAAATATTCAATACAAGTTTCATAGGAGTTAATAATTCAAAAGGATAGCATCTTAAAATTGGTTACAAGACGTGAGTGTATGCGTTGTACTATGTAACAAAAAAAAGATTACAAGATTGTATGGCGTGGTAGTAATAAGAGGGCCTCACATGAGGCAAGAGGTCATGAGATTGAATCCTCATGGACACACTTTTGCTAATATATATAAAAAATAATACTTGAGGCTTGCGACACTATGACCATTCTGATGCTCCTCGCTCTATTTTTTTTCTAATTTCTTTAATGCAGTTTATTAGCTTTTTGTAATTTTTAAAAATGTTTCTAAAGGCAACTGACTTAGTCATAATAAATGTGCCACTGACAATTGACTTTTATGGGGGCGTGGTAGATGTTTAAAAAACTGCCTCTAAAATCAATTTTGATCGTCTCTGCCCTGTCCGCTTAGCTTATCACCTGTACTTTTTTAGCGAAGGAACAATGTTTTTCTCTTACAACAAATCAGCGAATAGTACTTTTCAGTCTGGCCTTTTAGCAAAGCAAATCGGATCAAGTGTAACCATTTTTTGTTGGCATAAAAGTATTTGCTTTAAATGTTGTCCTTATTCTAAAAAATTAAGTAAACGGCTCTTGGAATACCTTATTCAAGCAACTAGGGTAGAGGGTTCATTTTGCCTGACTAGATATGTTAGTGGTTCTCTCTCTTTTTTTCAAAAGAAAACGCACAAGTGAGAAACTTAGGATAGATACCAATAATAGCCATCTACTGTGGTGAGCTCGAGGCCTCTAGCTGTAATACAATAGTGCCAAGTTCAACTAATGTTTTTTTTAATCAAGTTTGACTAATCTTTAGAATACTATATCTTAAAAATCTATATGAAACAATCTAAAATTTGTAGGATTAACAATCTGTCTACGTAGAAATCTGGTCACTACGCAGGACACACGATGGTCCCGTTCGTTGGTCTGAAACTTGGCTGAAAAACACTGTTCCGGCTGAATTGTTGTGAGAGAAAAACACTGTTCCGGCTGAAAAAAGAAGCCGAACAAGCCATTTTTAAGACAAGCGAACGGGGCCGATAAGTCTAGAAGATCCGCTTAACTTCAGTGTAGGTCCCGTCGAGCATGCCAGTCAATTTGACCCGTAATGACAATGGAAAAGATAATTAATAATTTAAAGTGAAACGTGTCAGCTTTTGATCCAGACAGTTTCATGATCGGCTAAAGAGCTGATAAAATAAGGCTATTGGCTACTGAACCGATATCCAGTAGATTGATGGTGTAAAACCGTTTAAATAAGCTTCTTCGGCTAAAATAGAGCATACTCATATATAAACAATATAAATCATAGAGCCGATGAATATGAAACAGGATAGATCATGAAAAGCACAGGCCATCGGCTACCAAGCCGATGAAGCACAATCCTTTGCTTTCCATATAAAGAAATCTATAAATTAACCAGATGTAATCTATTATCACTATCAATCGGATCAGAGACAACGTTGGTAGTAAGACGATGAATTTAAACTAGTAACCCAATAGATCTATTTATAGCTAAACAAAGCCTTGAGCACTATGATTGACTAAGATTAAGATACACCAGCTGAAATAGTTGAATCTGACGTCAGAATAGAGATTAACGAGGTAAACAACAAGACGACAGATTAAGAGCCGATGGATCTTAATCTAGTCAGATAAATTGGTGATTTTACTAAATCTAGTAAAAGATCATAAGGTGCAACTTTACTAAACATAGTAGGATCGATAACTGGTGATTCTATTAAATATAGCAAGAGATCATAAGATGCAGCCTCACTAAACGTAATAAAATCGATAACCGGTGATTTAATACCAAATCAAGCAAGAGATCAAAAGATGCAGACTTACTAGATTAGATACAAATCGTGACTAATACCAAACCAAGCAAGAGATCGAACGATGCAGCCTTACTAGATTAGATACAAGTCGTGATGGTACTTATAAGCAAACCGGAGATCAAAATCGATGCATCTCTGCCTACTGAAGAACTCGCCGAGATCTACTTTACTATTATTCCTAATGTAATGGTGTGAAAGCCGAAAAAATTGTGTATCAATGTCTGATTGTCCGTTTACAATAGCCGGGGTTTATTTTTATACCCTGTGCCAACATAGAGTCCTAATCCAATAAGACTAAACAATTCTTGTGCAAAAAGAAAGCGATCTAATTTACATAAATTGGACTCCAAAATTCCCTTTCTGGCAGAATCCGAGTTGATTACGCCTAGGCCGATGCTGCCAATGCCGTGGCTTTCCAAATCGGCAGAGTCCGATCACTTGATCCCTTCACGCTTGAGCCGGTACCGCTGACTGTGCTTCCCACGGCTCATTCCAATTTTTTTTGTGTAAACACAATCTATCCAGTGCAATTCATTACAACTAAACTAATATTGATTCATAAAAGCAAATCATCGAGAATTGGTCCAACACATCTATAAATGAGTCTTGTAGAAAATGTCTATATCATTCTTGATGCTACATCTAGCATGTTATGTTATTTAATTCACTATATTTCTATATCTATAATAATATATCTATCATTCTTAACAAGAAACAAAGCACCACTATGCAATGTTTCAAAATTAAAAGATGTATTATGTAAATGCATCTATATATATGAATGTGTTTCTATGTGAACGTCTCTACTAGACATGCTTAAAAAGTTCATCTTTACACACCCTGACATTATTCTTGTGGATACATTCATAACAAGCTTTATAAAATAGATTCTACAATCTTCTAAAAATCAAATGAAGTAGCACAACTGTCTAGTCAGCCGCCATTGACAAGGCAAGCAATGAAACTAATCAGGATATATCAATAAAAATATAGAAAGCGTACCCAAAGCCTACAAACAATTAAACACTAATAATTGCTAAGGAAATAAGCATCTAGGATCACAACTTAACATCAGCTCATACTCTACAGTAAAAACTGCAACAAATTTCTTATAAAGGATCACAAAGTATCAAGGAGTTCACAACCACTAGCCAAATGGAAACAACCTTGGGTGCATTTGGCATCTATAGAATTGGTCTGATAGGATTGTGTATCCATCTTAATTATGTCCAATCCTATCGTTGAAGCACTCAGGGCACTCATAGTGCTTTATGCGGTTTGCTTTTTTGGCTGTAATCTTCACACATTTTCCATGGTACCACTGGTTGCAAATATCACAACAGATCCAGAATGCACTTGTATGGTAGTGGCCATCACAAACTGAACATACGACCGGATCACTTAGAGCTTCATCCTCACTCTCAGGCTCGTAGTTCTTTTCAATAACTGGCCCACATAGCTTTGCCTAATGAAATGAGAAATCAATCTATGTTAATTTTAGTACAAATAGATCGGTTTGCATATTTCGTACTTTGATCAGTAGCAATGTACCTTTTCTTCTAGATGGCATATGCGGTGATAGGTTTCACTGGCAAGGAATGTTTCGTGTACTGTTGGAAAGCTATTAATCATATTGAACAAGTCCTCCCTGCCAGACAATGAGCAAATCATTAACTTATAAATAATGCTTTAGCTGAAATTTTGAAACAAATTTGACATCAAAAGCATGGAGAAACTTTGGCAATTATACATTCTTCAGAAAGTATACCAATAAATTTAATACAAAATCATCAGGAAAAGGCCACTAATCCAATATGAGCAAACAACCTCGGGTATGATGCAAAATAAAGGAATAAATAACAATAGTGTTTTGAAGCAACAAAATAATCGGTTAAACTTAACCAATTTGCATTTCAGTATGATGGTTTGGTTTTCGAAGTAAATAAAATATGATGATCAAGAGAAGATACATGTATTTTCACAAGACAAATGCTTTGTCCAATCAAGTATTGATGAAATTATCATTATGCATCATTGATGTGTATTAGATCTTCTCACAAACATGTCGCCGTTGGCTAGGAGAGGCAACATTGGAATGTAATGTACATGATCTAAAGTGATGAGCATGGAAAAGTACTTGCCATATCCTGGTAGGCTTCATTCCTTTGGTTTAATATAGTATAAATAAATGGCTTATGTCCTAATTTAAAAGTCAGACCTCCATTGCAAATATTTTCACACAATACAACTAGCACTACATCCAACAACATTTTTTAATCTTTTTGATAAAATAGCACAGTTTAAACTCTTATACACATTGGAGAACCAAAAGGATAGTTTGTATTGATGGTGCAAAGTTGAGGATGAGAATGATTTTTCTGCTAAAATGCAAATAATTTATGTCATAGTGTCGGGTTCATAAACCTAGGGTCTCTAATGGACCTGCTTCCCAGCAAAAGCTCGGCCCAACAGACGACGTTGCGAACGACGCGCAACTCCTGGGTCGGCCCAAAAACCTAACGACAGGCCAGAAGGGCGATCCAGTCTCCGACCGAAAGGCCTGGCCCAGGAGGAACGACGCTCGCTTCCGACCCCGGCCCGCCTCTCCAACCGAAAGGCCTGGCCCAGGAGGAACGACGCTCGCTTCCGACTTCGGCCTGCTTCTCCAACCAGAAGGCCTGGCCAAGGAGGAACAACGCTCGCTTTCCGACCCTGGCCCGCCTCTCCGACCGGAAGGCTTGGCCAAGCGCCGCTTCTGACTCCGACCCGCCTCTTCGACCGGGGACGCACCGAACCTATGCCTACAGCTCTCCTCCGACCAGCACTGTCAGAGCTGACTGGGACGAACCAACTAGGGACGCCCGCTTGGTAAGGACCCGGGAAACGAGCAGAGCAAGTAAGGCAGGGCGCTCAAGACAACTACAATACTGAGGACCGTACCCTGCACACCTGCAGGACAGTACCGATAGGATATGTCAGAAGGGTGCTCTAGAACCTTCCGGACATGTCAGAACCCTAATAGTGTTGAGGGCGCCGACATTTGCTCTACAGTGTTGCATGCGCCATCAATTCCCATACCAGGCAAACGCGGTAAGGCCTCCCACATGCATATGGCATCCACAGTGTTGTGGGCGCGGGCATTTACCATACCTGGTGACCACGGTGAAAACCTCCCACATGCGTTTGACATAAATAGTATTGTGGGCGCCTACCATCATCTTGTACCCGACGGCGTGGGCAACAAGATTAGTAGTACACACACACACTCTCTCTCTCTCTCTCTCACACACACACACACACTTGTAAGGTCGTCCCCTTCATCTATAAAAGGGGATGCGCTCTCTCCAAAAGAAGAACGATTGATCTCAGACGATTCGAACAACAACAACAGACGGATCACTCAGATTCACTCTCTGCTAGCTTTAGACACTCTAAAGCTACATAGAGCACACGCTCGAATACTCAACGCACGTAGGAGCTCCTGTCACTCTTGGTCCTTCAGACCGGACCTCTTGCACCGCCCATCTTACTCCTCGTCTGTAACTCCACTGTAAACTTTAAGCACCTGGGCTCAGGAATAAAGTCACCGACCTACTCAAACTGGACGTATGGCACGTTGCCTGAACCAGTATAAACCCTGTGTCATTGAGTGTTAGGCCACCTCCGATCACAACGTATGACAAAACTATAAATATTTACTTGGTCACTTTCTGCACCGACACATAGGTAAATTATAAATAACCAAGCACAAAACTGGACTAGTGTCTAGCTGACTAGAACAGCTCTTGTCAGCTAGACACTAGTAGAACTGAAGTCATAACAAAAACTTTACCCATAAAGAAGACAAGTTGAAATCTAACTTTAATATGTTTTTCTTAGTTTAGCTCACCACTATTAATTTATATGTTTGTTTTAGTGTATATATACTTTTAAATATTACACTTACAATGGCTCAGAGTTGTTAAGATTATCCCTAAGTGCTACATTTCAAAACTACAGTGTTACAATTAAATAATGTGCACATGTAGTGAACAAGCAAGAATTGCTTGTTAAGAGAAATATACCAATCCAAGTATCTAATTACTTTTCGATGCTTTGTTTCACTTGTGGAGTTGTGGTATATGAAATTGATCTGATGTGTAAAATATGGAAAAGCTTAATGTGCCAAACTTCACCTATATTGTAACTTTTCTAGTAACAAACATATTTTAAATCATGCCAAAAGCATCAATTCTATGTAAAAAGAAGACAGAGAGGTTGTGGTAAACAACTATCACATAGTTGATTACTTGAGTTCGAAATAAAATCAAACGAAGATTGAATTTCCTTCATAATAATAAAATATAAGTGACAAGGCTAAACTATTTTCATGTATGCATAGTTAATCACTATATAACTAATGAACACCACATGGGTAAAAAGAAAAAAAACTTTAAAATCCTTAGAAGGAAAAACAATGAAGCACACACAAGTACCGTCCTTTAGCTTTCATATGTTGGCTGAGGGAGAAGGAGATGTTGATGAGCCATGCGTCACCATGCATGGCAATGTGTTCCAGCCATTTGATGTGTTTCAAATTCCCTCTCACTAGGTTGATACCATGTAGTTCATTAGGCTTCGATTGTCGCAACTCCCAACTCCCATCAATGTTGCCATATAGGTACAGCGAGTGTGCACCTACACCAAACACAAAATTGTTTCTATTCACTTGGTCACAACATTCACATTGTGAGTCAATAAAAGATCAAACATTGACTCATATTGATCACACCATGACTCACCTTGGTCATGCTTACCAAAGAATCCCTCCTCTTCCGTATGGTTGTACAGTGGAAGAGCTAAGATTTTTCGGGGTGAACAACATTAGAATATAGAGTATCATAATGAAATGTTATATTTGCAATATATTCATAGATGAACCAACATATCTAAGTTATTTTCATTGTTATCTCTTTAAGTTTTATGAAAAAAGTATAAACTCATAATCCATCCAAGCAACCAAAAAAATATTGCTACTCCATGCATGTTCTTATTTGTCTTCCTCTTCATAAAGGGCACCTTTAAATACTAACAAAAAAATTAATGCCACCAAAGAAAGATCATATACTACCAATTTACAAATAAAAAAGTTTATCGTCCAGGAATGAAAGAAATAACATGAGGTTCTTGTTTTTTATTTCAGTATTTAATTTCCATATATATCATCTAGGAAAAAATTATTCAAAGGGAAAGCATTCAAATTGTCAAACCAGAATGATTATATTAGCGCTATCATACACATAGTAAGGTGTTAACTTCTGCTTCTAATCAGTGAATTTTCATAGTAGTTGAGATCTTAAATGAATCCCTCTCTCGGAATTGAACAAGCTACCTAGATATAAATATTTCATTGGATCCATGGGCTTGGGATGACACAATGTGGCTAGCTATTTACTAGTGATAAATTACCTTTGGTGACGGCACGGATGAGACCGAGACGACGATAAGTGAAATCCAAAATGATTTTCCCTGCAGTGTACGATGGTGTTGACCCAGCTAACGGAGAGAGTGTCCGTGGCAACATCTGCGCCCCCTCCATGGGCATCTCTGTGGCTAGCTGGCTCCGCACCGGTAATGAGCGGATGCAGGTAATAACCAACGAAGGCGGAGTGGAATCCATGGAGGATTGAAGAAAAATCACCAGGTAGCTTTAGATCTGAGAGACGGAGCAGAGGGAGAAAGCGGGACGAATGAGACTACTAAGCCTTGTTTGGCATGTTTTATAATCACACGATGTCATTGAGAGAAGGGTAGGGATATGATCCTTAGAGGATAAAGGGCCCACCTTTTTCGGCCTTGGTTGGGACCAATTATTGCATTCTACGTGAAGGGGATGAGATATTAAGGGCGTGTTTGATTTCGTTGACGTGTCCTGATTGGCCCACCATCTAGCCCTAGGCCAGCCACGACCTGGTCCAGAGAGCACAAGTGCGCGTGTTTGATATGTTACACTAGAACAGGCAGGCCCAACTGGTCCTGTGTTTGATTTGAACTAGGCAGCTAGGCCCATGACCAACTAACTCCAACTACCAGTTGGAGATTTTGTTTAATGCTAGCCTGGATCGGCATGTCCTAGGAACCAACAAGATATACATCACAAGGAACAAGTCATTTGCAAATGAACCAATAGAGCTTCGTTAACACAAATGGTGTCCAAACACAGACTTACAACAATATGAAGTACATATTAGTGACAAGCAAGTGGCCTAATCCTTCTAAGCCTAGTGATAAAAAAAGAAAGCATCACCACAACCATGGTCGCATTGTTTGGCCATCAACCGATGGTGTGGGGGATCCATCTACATGCATTCAACATTCAAAGACAAAACTCGCCTCTAGTACACCCTAACTAGCCTTGAACATGCATGAGTAAGCATTCCACAAAAAAGGTAGCACGACTGCATAGGAAAAATGACTCTAGTGCGTTGGACATATTCATCATCGACTGTAACAGTACATAAAACAAACTAAACACATGAGCATACGCATCGATCTGTTCCAAAGAACCAGCCTTAACAGAAACAACAACATCATCGACCTCAACTCAAGAAATGCAAAAACATAATGAAAATAACCATGACATTCATCATTTCCACATGCGCATCAAAACCCTAGGGACAAACAAAACCCTAACATCGCCAGAGTGAGGGAATGGGGGTCAATTTCACCTCGGGGTGCTCGTCGGAGACTTGGAGGTGTGCAAGACGGAGAAGAAGAAGAGTCACTGGTGAAGAGGTAGCAGATCTGGAAGGAGAGGAAGCAGATCCGCCACCACCAACACCAGCTGCAGCACCGGAGACGAAGAAGACAAAGGAGGAAGACGACCGCCTCCACGGAGCCCGCAGGAGAGGAGCGGCGACGCGGTGAAGCTGATTCGAAGTGGGGGAATAGAGATGAAGTCTAGGGACGCATGCCACCACAGCGACGGCCACCACCTCGCCAAATCCGTCGATCACTCAACAGGATTGTGGTGGAGAACGAGAGGGAGGAGGACGATAAAGGGAGTAGAACATGACATCGCGAGGGAAGGAGCAGGTTATAAAGACGGTGCCACGGGGGAGGGAGGGAGCGCACGCCGCGCGAGCCAGACGCCGCCGCCGAAAATCTCCCAAGAGGAGACGGAGAGAGCCGAGCCCGGGAGAAACAAAACCTAATTTTGTTTCCCGTATGCAGGAGAGAGAGAGATTTGCATGGGCACAACCAAGCTAAGAGGGGGCCAAAGGATATCAAACACGAGCAGTAGCAGCTAGGGGCCGCAGCCAGGCCCTATGGGCCGATATCAAACACGCCCTAATGTTGGGAGTCAAGCTGGTCTCGATGTGTGAAAAGAGCATGGGTGCCAAGGTTAGTAGGATGCTTAGGCGGTTCTAGACACGGTGGTGACTGGGTGGAATATTACAACCCAAGTAATTAAACTAGACTAATCATAATGTAATTTCTTACTTTATTAGTGAAAAATAAATTAAGTTTTGTTGGTTTTCAAGAATATGAAAGGACATGTTTGTTGGTTCTTTCGTGGTAAGTACAAATAGGCAGTCTGTTTGGCATTTGTTTGCGAGGCATAGGTTTGGCAAGTGGCATTTTTGGTAGGTTTCACAAAAAAAACTCAAGGTTTTAGACTATCAAGGTAGAAGTTGTAAGCGTTCAAGGCATGCCTTTGACATGATGCGTAGTGTAAAACTTCTTCTACTTACCTACTAATGCTTGTGTATCCATCAAGGAAAAAAGAACAATTGACTGATGCTTACCCGTATATAGTTCTATTTTTTCCATTATGCTGCGAAGTCCAGTAGGTTCCTAAGTTCACCATGGAAATGGTGCTATCACAGTATCGCGCGCCAGAAGATGACCGGGGAATCACTATATTTCGTGAGATTGATACAAATGAGGAGCACGCCAAGTTGTAGAAACTCTGAACTTGCGTGGAACTTAAGGTTCAATGGAAACTTGGAAAGTACTAGAGAATGGAGATGTAGAGTTAGGCAATGTTTGGATTAGCAGAACAAGGCCATCATCGGCGGTGACTCTAGTTGGACACGCAGAAGTTACACAAGGCCAGCGAGCGGACATTTTGGGCCCAATAAATTACGAAACTGAGGAGAGAGAGAGAGAAAAAAAGGTGCAAAGACATATGAGTCTAAAAAGAGACTATATGTGGGGATTTCTCCTCTATTTCGCCTATTTCCATTGGGTCTTCTTCCTAAGGAAATAGAGAAGAAGGTTCATTCTAGTTCCCTGAAGTATCAGCGTAGTCTGATTTTACTTCGAACTCCAAAACACGACATCTTATCCAATAATTTTTCAAGACCATTCAAATTAACTCATTACCTCGGTTTTGAGTTGTTTTGAAGGCGATTTTGTCCTTTTTAGCTAACAAAATTCGATAAATACTTGATGAGGTTTGTAAACCACAAAAACGTCTCTAATCTTTAAAAAATCCAAAAAAGTTGAGACAAAAAAGTCAGTTTCTAAACAATGTAAAAATGATATTACAATTGCAACATTGTGTTTCCTATCTTATGATAAAATCTTTAAAACAAGACCCCTGCGTGGATACATTTGAATTATATTTTTTTGCTATTTTTTATCCAGATTTTTTATTTATGAAAAACGGATTTGTAGGAGCGTGCCCGTGGTTAGTGCAAGTGGGTAGGGAACTGGACGAGATCTGCTTGGTAGATAGCCAGTTTGTTACGGAGTTCATTCATGGCCCCTCTTTATGGCCCGCCCTTCAAGCTTCTCCGATTCCGGCCCATAGACGCGCGCGGCTGCTCCTCGTTATGGCCCGCGACGGCCTGTCGCCTTGAAGTCTCACCTGAACTGAACCGGTTCCTGTAGCTCGTCCGACACAGACGCCCGGCCTGGTGAGGTTGCGGTCCTGACAGAGAGTTGCTAATCGGCTCAAGGAAGGGGCTCTAGTCCCTTGTCATACAAAACTCGTTGCATCGTCCAATCTAATCTAAAAAATAGCAAAGGGCTAGCTATATGAAACGATCTTACGAGCTCGTAATCGGATGCAAAACATACACAGCAAAGGGCCAAGTTAGCTCAGAAAAAAATGCTAGGGATCACTAACGGAGACGGCTTCTTTGCTGAGTGTCTCATACTTTGCCGAGTGCTTTTTATCGGGCACTGGGCAAAGAGGCTATTTGCCGAGTGCCAGAGAGAAAGCACTCGGCAAACAACTGGCACTCGGCAAATACCAGGTTTGCCGAGTGTCGGGCACTCGGCAAACCAGAACACTCGGCAAAGGGCCGCCGCCGTTAACAGCCGGCAGCCGCCATTAACCCTTTGCCGAGTGTCTTCCCCTGACACTCGGCAAAGTGGTGATTTGTCGAGTTTTATTTTTTGACACTCGACAAACTATATTTTTTTCCACTTTTGACCTTCAAACTTTTTCTGTAGTCCTCATACAATACCTGGTACTCCATGTTTCAATGTGCCATATTTCTCGGACTTTTTCTATATTTCTTTAATTTATTTCATTTAATTGAATTTTCTTTGATAATTCAAATTATAACTACTAGTCAGTCGAATAATGAAAAAAATGAATGGAAAAATGATATTCATGTTATTTAGTATAATGTGAGGCCGTATCCAGGAACAGACCATTAATTTCGAACATCTTGTTCACGAAACATGACCACGAACTTGCGGTCGAGTTGTTTTTAAATTCTATAAAAAGCAAACGAAGTCCGAAAATCATGAAACTTGTCAAGATGTCATGATATCATATGTGGAGGCATATAAAAATTTGAGGAGGTTTCACGCAAGTTATCACGTGCTTGCAAACCAAGAATCTCCAAGAAGTTTCATGATTTCGTGAAGAGGCCGACGAGGTGGTAAGCATCGTACGTGACAAACTTGCGCGAAACCTCCTCAATTTTTTATCACAGCCTCCACATATGATATCATGACATCTCGACAAGTTTCAAGATTTTCGGTCTTCGTTTGTTTTTTATAGAATTTAAAAACAACTCGACCACAAGTTTGTGGTCATGTTTCGTGAACAAGATGTTCGAAATTGGTGGTCTGTTCCTAGATACGACCTCACATTATACTAAATAACATGAATATCATTTTCCCATTTATTTTTTTATTATTCGAATGACTAGCAGTTATAATTTGAATTATCCAAGAAAATTCAATTAAATGAAATAAATTAAAGAAATATAGAAAAAGTCCGAGAAATGTGCCACATTGGAACATGGAGTACCAGGTATTGTATGAGGACCGCAGAAAAAGTTTGGAGGTCAAAAGTGAAAAAAATATGGTTTGCCGAGTGTCAAAAAATGACACTCGGCAAAACACCGCTTTGCCGAGTGTCAGGAGAAGACACTCGGCAAAGAGGTTGGTTTGCCGAGTGTCAAAAAAAACACTCGGCAAAGAGGGGGTTTGCCGAGTGTAAAAAAACACTCGGCAAAGAAATAAAATCTTTTTTCTAGAAAAGAAGGAGAAGAAAAAAATAAAAAAAAACTTTACCGAGTGCTCAGATCTAGAACACTCGGCAAACCCTGCTTTGCCGAGTGTCAGATCTAGGACACTCGGCAAAAAAAAAAAAAATCATTTGCCGAGTGTCAGATCTAGAACACTCGGCAAAGCTGCTATACTATATAACTG